ACGACGACGAAGGACACTCAGGTGAGTGCCCCAACTGAGACTTAACTAACTAGAACCTTAGGTTACGATACGAAGAGAAGCTAGGTTGTGACACAAGGCTCCTACCCCCGTGGGATAGAATATGATTGAATCCTAATGTAAGGGGCTGAGCCCGGAAGCTATTATCTAGCTATATACAAAAAGGATTCGATAGAGAAAGAAAGAAGAACGCCTGTCAAGGTAGGAGACCGACACATACATATAGTTCGCGTAGACGTATACCCAACGCGGGGTCGGGCATCTAGCTGTTAGTACCCATCGGGTCACATGTCTGACCGCCCTCGCTTTCTGCCCGGTAGTTTATATAGTTAGCTCAGCCGATAGGCCATAAACCAATCAACCATTCACCACACACCAAAAGGTTATGAGCCCTCTTGCTCGATAAAGGGAAGAGTGATATATGTGTTGGTTCCTTTAGTGAGCTATTCTTGTTTGGCCTAACAGTTTGCGCTATTTGCCTATAAGAATCAATCACTATCGTACACTCTGTTTATCCCTGAAAACGTTTTTCGTTGGAAAAGCTTTATATCCATACTGAAGCGCTCTGATATCAATCAATCAAAAATTGACTACAACACTGATGATAACAGTTGATTCCACTGCCTCTGTGTTGATATGGCCCCCTGAAAGGCCAAGATGGCACCAGTTACCCAGGTGCCAACCCCACAAACTATCCAGCATGATAGCCACCAACAGGCTGATTCAATGGATATTGACGACCACACAATGCCTACTCCAGGTGATTACCCCGTCGACGAGATGACTACTCAGGGAGGATTCCCTGATGACACACCATCGACACTGATTCAAGGGGGGGACCAATCAAGCCCCCAGCCTCAGGAACAAGACTTTCATCAGGCAAAGGCTCTGGAAAGGCCTCAAGTGTCTGAAAGGCCTGAGCAGTCTACCCAAGCTGCTCAACGACCTGCTAAGAAGTCTAGCCACGACCTCATTGCGGAATTATGGCGCAGACTTGAGCAGAAGGATGAGGAGATGTCAGAACTCTGCCAGGCACAGATGAATGCCAACACATCCTCCACAGACTCCCGCCTAGCTGATCAGCTGTCCAAACTGTTTGAGCAAAAGGATAGCCAATCAATGCTGGATAGGGAAGAACAACGCCTGAGACAGCTCGCACAGACATATTGGTGAGAGACCAAGAAACTGCATGGACGAGATAATTATTCTGATTGGTGAAAAGGCATATTGTTTGATGCTGATTATTTGGGTGCCTGAGACATCCTACTCCAACTGGACACTGTACTGAAGGCGACTTCCCTTCAACAGATCTGATTTGAAACTTCTAAACAGCTACTGCATAAACGGATATTAGACTGTTTGATGTCAGATATTGCCGATCAGGTCCAAATGGACCATACACAGCAACTGTCCGACATTCTGTCCTGATTGGACATGATATATGGCATATCACCTGCTGAAAAACGCCTTCTTTTGGTGAAGATGCTTCTAAATCTGAAGCCACAGGGCAATTATATTGTGATGATGTGGCAATGGCAGAGAATCTCTACTGAATTAGAGCAACAGGACTATCCGATTTCAGAAGTTTGCCATGACATTGGTATAATCCTATTGGGTGAACATCAGCGCTCATTCATGCACACCCAACTAGACCACCTCTTCATCCAATTGAAGAGGAATCAGTCACATGAGATTGATATGGCCGCGATAATCAACCAATTGGAGAGTTGTACACCATCCGCACCCGGCCATTACAAACCCCTGTCATACACAATTTATCAACAGGAACCTTGGGGCCACACACCTCAAATAGATAATCAACCACCCAAGGGGGGGAACAAGAAGAGTCAGCCAATCACAGGCACTTCATCAGACCCTTCTCCACCCCAGAAACCATCCAATGAGCAATCAAAGTCATCATGACTGTGTCCTCATTGCAAGCGAGGATATCACAAAGTTGAACGATGCTGGGTACTACACCCAGAGCTCTGCCCACCAAAGGAGAATCCTCCACTGAATGGCACATCATCTAGTGATGATAATTGATCAAAGCCTATCACAGGCACAACTGGTGCTGCCAATTTAGTCCATCCAGTGAGACAATCAGACAACTGGATATTGGACACAGGAACCACATGGACTATCCACAATGATAAGTCTGCATTTAACAGTTATATGCCATTGACTATGGCATCACCTGTTGAATTACCTGATGGCAGTACTCATCGCGTTGAAGGAGTCAGGACTATCAAACTGCCAATTGGAGAGCACATGGTGGAATTGAAGAATGCCCAACATGTTCCTACTTTGCATGCTCATCTATTATCCTTTAACCAGCTTGAGGATCAAGGCTTTCATATCAAATTGACTGATGAAAAGCCTTAC